GCTCCGGTTAAAAAATTCTATGAAAATCAAATTTATCGTCTCACTCCAAAATATCTTAGGAAAGACCTAACCACAACTCCTGTTAAAAGCGGAACTCAAAATTCCAATTCCAAGAGGTCCATCAACGAAGTTACATTTTGGCACACCCTAATAAGCATATATAATCAAAAATTATTAGAGTGTGCCAAAAAAAGACGATATTTTTTTTTTCGCTCTCCGTCCAAAATATCTTAGAAGATGTCCCAAAAAAGCTCCTGTTAAAAGCGCACCTCAAAATTCCAATTTTAAGAAGTCCTTCATCGAACTTAAAGTTTTTCCGTTTAAATAACATGGGAAATATGATTTTTATTAGTTTTTTGTCCTGCAAACTGTGATGAAATTATTTTCTAAAAAAACGAATGAGTGAACCTTGTTTATCATTAAATTTAGTACAAAAAATTTTATTGAGTCGAATTTGTATCTTCAATATTTGATTTGTTTTATAGCTTTGAAATTCAAATTTACGGTTTTTTGCATTTTTTAGCTAAACTGTAAGAGTTAGACAAAAATAATAAATAGTAAATTTGTAGTACTATTAATATTCTAAGGCGCGCAGTAGCCTATCGGATCCGGCCCTTGCTATCAAAGCATTGGACCGGGTTCGAGTCCGGCGTACACCAATGAATATTTTCAATATTTAAGTGTATTATTTTGCTCAGCCCTAGAAATACAAACGAGTTCCAATCTCAAAAGTTTACCCCCTACCGTAGTCGCTCATGACCTTAGTAGTTTATGCGACTTTAAACAAATAAAAAAAAAAAAAAATATTCTATAAAAAGTGTGTGTGTGTACTTATGTACAAAATTGTTTTTTTTTTTTTAATTATTTCTCGCTGTGATTAATTTGATTATTCGTTTAAGTTTATTAGTGTGTTCCAAATATTAATTGAAATTTATTTTGATACTATCGTCATGTTGTACTGTGTATGGGACAATTTGACGATAAATTTTATTATTAAAAATTTTAAGATTAATTTAAGAAACAAACATTTAATTAAATTTAATATTTAGAATAATTTAATTTTTTCGGAATGAAATATTTTTATTATTTGTATCTATTATCAATTTATTAATTTATTTATAAACTTATCAGACATTAAATAAGAATGTCAAAATTTATTTTAGTTTATGATGTAAATAAATAATATATACCGTCAACTAACCCCTAATTCTATAAATGTATTTAAAGGAATATCCAAAAACTATTTTTATCACTTAAAATAATTACTCAAAGTAATATATAAAAACAATTATTATAACTTATAATCACAGTAAATTATTGTAATATTATTTTATAATACATTATAATATTATTTGAGAAAATATATATTTATGTATATTTGTATATATTTTATTCGGACTGATATAAAACACGTGTGGTAGGTTCAGAAACACTTAAATAAATAAATATTGTGAATACAGTTGTCAGTTCTCACGCAAACATACGTAGTGTGATGTTATATCACGGTTTACTTGGTCGCTGGAGGCACCATCACGCGAGAACAAATTATGATAATTTATAGCGCGAGAAATTCAGAAACTTATAAAATAATTTAGAGAACGCTAAGGAAATTCCCATTAATATTTTAGTCTCCTGGTCACTCTCTAGAAATTTCCCATCCATTGTAATTAGAATAAGTATCGTAAAAAGATTAGAATACTATGGTAATAGGATTAGAGTAAAATATATGGCTATAAGTTTAGTATTAGAAATGTTTGTTAAATGTTGTCGGCTGATAAGTTTTACTAGACTCATTACAAATTATATTTTAAGTACTATATTTTATATTTTAAGTATTTATGAAAGACAGTCTGGGCGGATTATTGACCCTCATTTGAGCACAATATTGTCGGGCCGCCAGGGCTCTACAAAAGGTTCCCAGTCATTAGGGAGTTGGGAAATTTCCTTGCCAGACTCAGGTATCCAGGTATCCAGCATGGTCGGAAAGAGCGAGCACGTGGCCAACGCTTCGAGCCGAAGTATACCTGAAGAGCAGCCGATTGACGTCATCAGCATTCTCAACTGTGGGACCCTAGTGCAGTAGGGGAAGCTGCCCCACCATCGCTTCTGCTTCACTTCAGACTCAAGACCAAACTCGGAAGAATCAGAATATCCTCAGCCCTCAGACTGATCTAACATCTTCATTAAATATTGTAATATCCAGATAATTTAATTCGGTGTAAAGTTTTATCCAACAATATATTTAAATCAATTTAAACTAATATTCTCTTCGAAGTTATTTTGCACGTTAAAACCCAGTCATTTATTAATATTTATTCATTCCTGCTATTTTAAAGTTGAGTATTTCAATATTCCCGGGCGAATTACGACCACGTCGGTAATTTAGACTCAATAAAATAATTTCACGCGTGTCCACTAGAGTTAGGACATAACATTAGATGTCCTTACTTTTACTTTGTTGGTACCTTTTATTGAAAAACTAAAATGTTGACTATAGCTAACTTCATCATGTCGATTTTTCGTGACGGTGTGCGCGCGAATCGTAAAAATTTCTACTTTCCGGTAGAAGTATTTTTCCTTACCTATCCTAATGATATCGAGCGGCTTATATCATAGGGGAACCTCGTTGCGACCGCATGGCTAGGGTCGAGGGTAGTGAATGAACTTAGGAAAACGACAGGAAGGTGGGTTTGGTGAACTATAGGTACTCGTGAATACCTCGTTTCTTAATGTAAGTTGGAAATCAGGTTTTGTTAATAAAGAGAAAGAAATGATTGTTTGCACACAATAAATATATATTCAATTGTCTTTACAGGTTTACTTAATTCGTTAATACAAATTTAATACCAATTGGTAGACACAATGGAACAAAAACTTCAACAACTCTGGATAATGCACTAATATGATAATAAATAACAACACACTTAACAAACTAAACTTTGCACAACGTTTCATAGGAGCTCTTTATATTGAGTCTTTATAAATACTGATTCGTTTATTGAAACCCTAAATTATAATACTAATTGCAAAAACACCACTCCTCGACGAAATATTTGATAACAAGTGTTTTTTTAACATAACTCTGACATTTTTTGAAATAACTTTGAAACGGCTTTACCGATCAACTCCAAAAACTAATCAGCTGTTAACATTAAAAAATTACGTCGATTGCCGTCAAGCCGGTCAAAATCGGTCAATTTGTTCAAAAATTGTCGTGAACAAAAGAAAACAGAAAAAAGTATTTTTTCGGAATTACTCCGTAGTACCTCGGCTGAAGAGGGAATCCCGTATTTACTTTTAGGTCCCCGGATTTTGATTAATGATATTAACGTATTTTTTGCCGAGGTTTGTAATAAATTAGGTTATTTTGGTCGCCGATGGTAAGTTTAATTGTTAATAACAATTTAATTGTTTAAAACGATATAAATCAAGAAGGACTGATTTGACGGGGAAGTTTATTTGAAAAAAAAGTTTTAAAATTAAAAAACCAACAAAAAATGTCCTTATCATTTTTTTGATAAAATGAATATTTTCGCAGATAGCGCAAAAAACAACAAGTAGCGGTTGGACCTCTCTGTCACGCGCACGCATCCCACGGACTCTAGCGACGAACGACAGGCACAGAAAAATACAGAGACGAAAAAAAAATTCCATTCTCGGTGTCAACTGAAGATTAAGAAAAGAAACTCATAGATATCATAGAGGAGACTCTATGGAAGATTTCCAGAC